TTTGCTGAGTGTTTATTTCATACCACGCTTTGCAGTTATCATTTCGCGTGCACTCATTTCATCCCACGTAGCCCACTACTCTTCTATCAGTGTGTCCTACTATGGTGGCTTCCATGTTGCTAAGATAATTCAAAGACCAGCAGGGTCACCCATGGAGGGCAGGTTTCAGCAAGTCTTCCAGACTAAGGCAGACGAGAAAGATAGGTCTGGCGGTCTATTTAAAAAAATAAGCCAATGAACATATTCTGGATCACGACACAATCTTGTCCAATATACGACGTAGTACTGGAGGGTGAGCCCCAGGTGGGAATGCACTCAAAGGGCACGGTAGCGGCAGCCCAAGACCCAGGCATCCCAGTGATGATGAAGCTAGCCCAGGGCCAGGCGGCATGCTGTCCTCTTGTACGAGGCGGCACCATGAGTCGGGGCCAATCAATGGCAGCGAACAACAATAACAAAACCCCTCACCCAACACTTCACAAATCACTGGTTGACATTTTTACCAAATGAGGAAAGAGAGGCTTGGTGTGAGGTCCTGAGAGACAGAACTAGACCTTGAACTAGTGCGTTCCAGGGCCCCTGTCCCTAACCACTCACTTTCTGTCTCCCGCTGGCTGATTTATGAAGAAGGTGGCGGAACAGCAAAAATAGTCCGTCACTAATGTGTACTTCGCTCCTCTGCATCAATTTCCCTCTATGGGTACTGGGAATAATTCTACCTTCCAGGTTACCTTATCGAATCGGTGACACGTTCTTGCTATCACGGGCTCTCTCTGGGTGGTTCCGACTCAGTGACCCTATGAGCATCAGAACAAAACACCCCCGCCCCAGGCCGTGCTCACAATGGCTCCTGTGTTTGAGCCCCTTGGGGCAGCTTCTGTTTCCATGCATTTTGTTGAGGGCTTTCCCTTTCTCACCGCCCCTCTACTTTGGGGATCTAGAGAGAGCAGATGCCTAGCCAGCCCTTTCAAACACAGTGAATACTCGGAATATTCTTTGTTGTCTTAGTTAATGCTCTCTATTTTACCTCTCTGGGTTCTAATAGTCATTGCAGTGCTACACAAAACTCATGGACAAAATTCAAGATTACAGGGTTTATGGAGGAAGTTAACAAGTTGTAATGCCAGCGAGAAATGCTCAGGATAATTATTTATCAGCTCTTGTTACAAATTTCTTCCAGATCTGCTAATTAATGCCCAAAGGGGCATACCACTCCGCTGGAAGCCTCTACCCAAAGGCATTCAGCTCAAGTCCCAAGGTCAGCAAACCCAGCTCCCTGAATTAAGAACCCAGAGGCACCCTACTCCCCAAGCCAGCATCCTTTACGGAAGCACTCAGCTTTACTTACTCAGAGGGCTGGGAAGTGCACGATTCTGCCCCATGCTCCGGTTCCTGCTCCTGCTGCTGCTCCTCAGAGGGGATAGCTGTCTTCTGGATCCAGGAGGTTCACTGCACAGGGATCTCAGGTCCAGATGGCACACTCCGCTCCTGGCTCCTGCTGGTAATGAGATCCCTCCTCCTGCTTCTCAGAGGGCTGTTTTATACGCAGCAGGATGGCACTCCAGAGAATCTTGTTCTCAACTACTCATAGGTGAATCCTGTCAGTATCTTCCCCATCCTCACCATTTTCTTACCAGATCCATACAGGAAAAGGTTATTTGGTGGGAGTTAGAGTCTTTGCCTAATTAAATAATTCACTGCCACCACCTCCCACCCCCAGCAGATGTGAACAGTCTCCAACCACCTCCTCCTCCCTCCTCACCTCAAACTTTGCATCCTAACATTTATTGTAGCAAAACGTCTCTCTTGTTGTCTGGAACAAGACAGTCCTTCAGTAAGCATTATTTCTCCCCAACGATCTAGCTGTAAAAAAGAATGTGGTGAAAGTTATAGCTAACAAAATTGTCAATAAAAATACTGACAATTATTAGCGAAGGGCTGT